TACTGGCTGAATATCGACCATTGTACCCAAACTCAGGAAATTATTTGCCTGAGGGCATGAACACTAATAATTGTTTATATTACAAGCATTCCTGCATGCATATACATGAATTTTAGTCTCAAAACAATCACTATTATTACCAATTAACAAAATGAAGTCAAAATTTTGTGAGCACCACCATCTTGAACAAGCATTTTCTGTAACTTAATGGGTGCGTACAAGTGGCAACAGTTAATATATGCTTCATTAGATACTAGAAAATATCTTGGATGTTTCTAATTTAAACCATGTATTGAAATTTCTTGAAAGTACATGAACACATCTGCATCAACTGAAAAGCAGCTGTTTTAACACCTAATAAAATAATGATTGCTTTAAGAGAACCATTTATTTTCCCAGTAATGTTGAAATCTTCCCAGCGAAAATAAGTACATTACGTATTGTAACACACTGAATATGTTGTCTGCAAGATTGAAATTCTGCTGAATCAAATACTACATTTTTTTTGTCTGACAGAAGTGTGTCTGTGGTCTAGCCGCATCCCTGATAGAAGCCCCACCTATTTTTTTTGAACAATTGAGAAGCAAAACTTCACCATTTCTCATATGTGTAGATGCTCTAATAGAAGCCGCATCTCCTCTGTTGTATTGCTCCATTATAATAGAAGCCGCAGCTTCTAATACAGATTTTATAGTAATTCCTATTTTGATGATACAGTATACAGTAAATGCTATTTTTAGTTTTTGTGTATTTTTTGGATGAGATGCGTTTCAAATAGAACAAATATGGTAGTTATAGATCACAAGAAATAACATGCAGAATTTAATAGGCAAGGTTGAAATAGTTTCACTATGTTTATATTTAAATTAGAGGTAAAATACTGTTATGTACAATATGAGAAATTTCATAGACATTACCACTTTGAATTGTAATGGTAACTGCATTGCCTGAATCTAATTAAAACAATTCAATTGTTAAAAATTATATGTACACGTAGTCACCTTGAAATGTCATTTGCAATTGCTTTCAAAGTTCAGTAAAATGCTGTCTTTATAAGTGAAGGAGGTGAAAATATTTTCTTCTTAAGACTTTGCCTGCTGCTGATGTTGTATACCATTCATATGGTTATACATGGAGTCTTTCGGCAGACAGTTTTTTTTCTTTTTTTTCTTTTTTTTTTCTTTAAAATATTTTTATGCCAGGCAACAGTTCTGAACATTGAGTGTCACTGTTGTCTCTCCTGACTTTTTTTTTGTATGTGCAAATTGCAAGTGCTAGTGCTCACACATAGTGCATTTTTGCCACAAAAGTCATATTCATGTTCGGGATTACATGACATTGCTGTGTGGCCATCTCTCTGTCAAATGGCAATTTTAATGCGCTATCCTGGCGTCAACCAGGCTCGGTTGAATGCAAGCACCTTGCGGACCTTAACCAAGGTTCCCCCAAAGTCACATTCGTTAGTGAATGAATCTCGGCCAGTGGAATTGGCCTTCCCATTGAGTCTGTGGCACACTCACCCATGGTAGGGGTCGACCCTTTTAATGTTCAGCCTAAGGGTAAGATTTGAAGTTGGGTATACTGGCTATGAGTCTGATGCGACAACCACTAGGCTACCAGTGACCGTTTACGAAGTCTTAACCCCAGCCAGGAATCACCATCTCTTAATCGTAAACTTTATTTTTTATACATTATTGATTAAAAATCAAGTAACATGTTTTTTTCTGTTGTTTCAATTTACTGACATCACTCCTGATGTGTTTGTTTAGTTTCAATTTATTTTCAATCATTGGATGTTAAGTGCATTTGGCTGCACAGAACTTATGTGCTGTGTCATAATGCATTCAAATACTTATCATAATCACATTATGAAAGTTATGTATTTTAAGGATTTGACATATAATCCAAGCATATACAATGTATGGCTAGGCTACAAATAGTGGTGTGGTGAACGTTGTTTTTGGGCAGTTTTTGCAATATTTCATTCATTAGATATTTAGAAATTAGAAATTATGCGATATATGTGCTGTGTCTCAATGCATTCAAATACTTATCATAATCACATTATGAAAGTTGTATATTTTAAGGATTTGACATATAATCCAAGCATATATGGCTAGGCTACAAATAGTGGTGTGGTGAACGTTGTTTTTGTGGTGTTTTTACAATATTTTGGCAGAAAACCAGAAAAAAATGCAGTGTGACCAGAAACATATTTTTTTTTCGGCCTTGTGTGACAAAAATGCTTTACATACTATTAGCACTTTTTACTTGCAATTCATACATACAATAGAGCAGTGATATCAATGTTGGAAAATGTTTAAAATTATTTTTAAGAATTGCCAAGAGACATACATGTAACTCTACAATGTGTATTCCTACAATGTGTGTATGCAAATAGCAAATGGAACCAATGCCTGAGATAGTTGTTGTGACTGTTGTCAAATGAAGATACTCAAACTTATAAAAATGAATTTTAAGTACAACATTCAATAAAAAAAGAAAAAATCATGATTGTTTGGTATTTATAGATTACTGTAGAATACTTTATTTTCGCTTGGAATTAATTTATGCTATTTTCGCTGTAGTAATGATTCAGTAAAAATATAATCCAGCGAATATACTTTTTTTCTACATTCAACTCATCAAAAAACAGTGAAAATAAATTCCATACAAAACACTCAAAAAGTATTTTCAACGAAAGTTAATTCCAGCTAAAATAAAGTATTTTACAGTACCTGCATATGCATATCGCATGTTTACTACAAAATGTACACGAACCCCCCCAGTTTTGTAAATGAACGTATCATATGAGTAGATTCAATTTGTGATACAGAGTTTTACCATTACATTACAAGTATGAGGGCTTTTTTTATATTGCTATATCTCTGTTTGAGATTATAGCCAAATTGACATTGTGAGTAACTACAATGAGCTGTTCCTGCTATGAATAGAAGCAGTGACCATGTTAATCGCTTCCATTTATTATTACTATTATCTTTCAAGGGGAAGACCAAAACAAATTGGGGGGGGTCCCTGTTTTAGATTTCTCAAATAAATATTGTGAGTAACTGTAACTGATTCTGCTATGAATGGAAGCAGTGACCATGTTAATCACTGCCATTTATTATTATTTCTATTATCTGTTAAGGGCTAGACCATACTATAATTGGGGGAGATCCCTGTTTGAAGATTTCAACCAAATAAATTTTGTGAGTAACTGTATCAGACTGATACTGCTATGAATGGAAGCAGTGACCATGTTAATCACTGCCTTTTATTGATTTCTATTATCTGTTAAGGGCTAGACCATACTATAATTGGGGGAGATCCCTGTTTGAAATTTCAACCAAATAAGTGTTGTGAGTAATTGTATCAGACTGATACTGCTATGAATGGAAGCAGTGACCATGTTAATCACTGCCATTTATTAATTTCTATTATCTGTTAAGGGCTAGACCATACTATATTTTTGTGGGAAGCATTGATGACCACTCATTGGTATTCTTGCAGCGATGTATAGCCTAGTATCTTTAGGCACCTTTGACACTGTCTTGCAATGCCATCAACAACAACAAATTTTAAAATGAAATGCTTGCGTGCAAAATTTTCAGTTTTGGCATAGTTTCTAATAAACTATCAAGACTGATAGGTGGAATATGAATGAGCCTGTCAATCATTGCATCGAAACACTAAAAAACAAACAAGAAACTGTTTAAAAAAAACAATCTTAACACAGGGGGAATTTACAACAAAATAATATTTATAACAAAATTTGTTTTGATAACAGTAAAGCAAAAACAAACAATATAATTTGCACAGTCTACATACCATCTTCCATCCCATCAACAATAATATTCAAGCAAAGGTCTTTATTTTTTGCTTGAGTGCATTTTTTTTTCTTTTTTTCTCACCTGGATATGGGAACAAAGATTATTGATTAATAACTTCAATTATCATTTCTAAGCCTGTCCTGTTCCCTAGAACACAGTCACCTTGTAATTTGTGGCAACTCCCCCTGAAAATAGATATCCTTTTTATTTGCAATATAAAGATTGCCCCAACCCTTATCTGGTTATGCCCTCCTGACATTTGGCTTATACCACAAAAGTATGTTATTAAAATACTCTCAATTTTTCTGTTTGCTTTTGTAGGCCTTGCTCGTGACCAACTCTATATTAGTATTATTGTGTATTACAGCATTGTACAATGGACAGTGCATAATTCTGGATGCTGAGTTTTAGCTAACAAGTTATGGTTGTCACGAGCATATGTGAATGACACACAAGAGTTTGCCATGGTGTTTATAATAATAATCGAAACCACTTTATCAGATATGTCTGAAATGCTCATTCACGGTAACAGTGCACACGCATTTTAGAATGAATACAAGCTTTGCTTGCTGGAGCATAAGCAATGTGAAGTGTGTTTCAACCACAGAAAACCAGATACTGATCTGTCTGAACAGGAGTATTGCTATGACGATTAGTGTGTCATTTGAATAGACTACTCATGTCAACTGTTAACGGAAGACGTCTCTAATCTGTCTCAGTATCCCCAACTGTTGGTGTTATTCAACACCCTTGCTAATGTATTATTTATAAGCTCAAAGGGACAATTCCATTTCCTTAACACCGATTGGAAGAAACAATTGTTAGAAGATTACACTTTACTGCAGGGGTGGATAGCTTGTTCATTAAATTACCGATGCATACAGCAAAGTAAAGGTACTATAAAATGAATTAAGTTGTGAAGCGAGAGCAGCTGCTCATACCGTTGCTTGAGTTGGGTAAATTACCACCGCTGTAGCTTCGCTCTGAAATTTGATCAACAATATGGGAAGTTTGCTTACTGTATGACGTATATTAAGAACTATGACGAAATCATCTGCATCATTGTAGGAGTTTATCCTGTACCCCTGTATATAAATGCAGAGAGGAATAATGTGAATGCAGTTAATGTATTGCAACAGTTGTGTGTGAATTAACCAAGATCTAGTGATGGAAGTCAACGTAACTCAGTATACTCTGACTATGGATAGTATGACAACCACACAAGCTAATACAACTGCCATGACTACGACCAGTTTACCAGAATTGATGGCAGGCCATGTTACAAGCAGCTATCCACGACTGGTAGTTACACTTATACTGACTTCGATGTCTAGTAATAGTTCCATGAATTCTACATCAAACTACGGGCCATCACATTATGAGTATTATATCATCATTCCGTTTCTCACCATCATAATTGGTTTGTCCATTGTCGGATTGCTTGGAAATCTTTTTACCATTATTGTGATTGTGCACAATAAAAATATGCGCACCACAACCAATTATTATCTTCTGAGTTTGGCTGTGTCCGATTTCCTCGTTTTTCTTCTAACCAGCCCGACTGAAATTCTCTCGGTTCTCCAGATGTATCCATGGGTTCTCGGTGACTTTTTGTGCCGCACGCGTTACTACTTTATCGAAGCATGTACGTACACAACCGTGTTGAACATAACTACTTTTACAGTGGAGCGGTATATTGCAATTTGCCACCCGATTAAGGCCAAGACAATGATAAAGAAATCTCGAGTTATCAAAATTATTGTCCTAATCTGGATTATTTCGTTCATAATTGCCTTACCTGCAGCGACAGTATTTATCGTTCAAGTTATGGATGCATCAAAACCACAACTGTCTGTGATGTGTTTCTACAAGAGTGACCACGCCAGAGAGATGCTTGATAAATTTTACATCTACAGTGCATTAGTGCTCTTCGTTATTCCAATGACGTTGATTAGTATTCTTTATAGCCTTATAGCAAGAGTACTATCACGCTCTGAACTCAAAGACGGACAGAGAAATTCCAGTTTCAAGCGACGTGGCAATTGCAATGGGCGACTCAAAACAAGTAGCTTTCGAGTTGATGCCACAACAAGACGAAGGAAGCAAGTTGTCAAAATGTTGGGTGAGTATCAATTTTTCAGAATGTTATGACGAGTGAGGTTTAACCATTATAATTGTCTGTTAACATGCCACATACTATGTGTATGCCCAAATAGTTGGTTGCCATGGAAACAGTCATTTTGCAAAAATTTAGATTTTTTTCATCATAAAAAAAAATGAATAATTGACTTTGTGACACTGCAGCTATATTTTGATAGTAGACCTTGTTGGTTTCTTTTTATATGCCTAACATCTTTTTTTCTGTAGTTTACTCAATATTCATGAATGAAATACCAAATATTATCCTATTTTT